AGTCTTGGCTCACTACAACCTCCATCTCCCAGGTTCAAGCAATTCTTCTGCCTCAGCCTCACTAGTAGCTGGGATTACAGGCACCTGACACCATGCCCAGCTAATTTTTGTATTTTTAGTAGAGTTGGGGTTTCACCCCTTTGGGCAGGCTGGTCTTGAACTCCCGACCTTGTGATCCACCCACCTTGGCCTCCCAAAGTGCTGGGATTACAGGTGTGAGCCACCATGCCTGGCTTGTTTGTTTATTTTTAGAGTCAAGATCTTGCACTGTTGCCCAGGCTGGAGTGCAGTGGCACCATCATAGCTCACTATAGCCCCAAACTCCTGGGTGCAAGCAATCCTGCCACTTCAGCCTCTCGAGCTTCTGGGACTACAGACATGTGCCACCATGCCCAGCTAATTATTATTATTATTTTTTTTTTGGTAGGGTCTCAAGCTCTTGGCTTCATATGATCTTCCTGCCTCAGTCTTCCAAAATGGTGGGATTACAGGCATGAAAGACCATGCCTAGCCAACTGTATGTTTTAATTCCCTTAGTTTTCATGGTATACCTCTGAGAGGGGGGCATGATAACACCCATGATACAGGTGCAGTGACAGCACAGAGCTCTAAGAAGCAGGGGAATGACAGAGTTGGGTTTGGCATCCAGGAAGTTTGTCTCCAGAGACAAAGCTATTGACCTCCACGCTTTCCTGCCTTTCAACAATCCTCATTATTAATGTTATTATTCAACCCACTGACCTAGCTCTTTGTGTCTTTGGGGTTTTACACTGCTCTGACGTTCATGTCCTTGCTTATGTCTTACATTGAGACTCTGAATGGGTTGTGTACACATGCCCAAGGATACAGTAACTTATTGGGCATTCTCACCTTTGGCTGCATCACTGGCCTCTTGCCAGCCCTTGAGAACTGCCCCTAGCTCAAGCAAGGATCCTAATTTAGCAGATGAAGTCAGGGCAAGAAGATGATCTCCAGGGTGACCCATGCGCAAGGACTCTCTCCCAATTCCCAATTACATTTCTTTTTCTTTTTTTTTTTTTTGAGACAGAGTTTCACTCTTGTTACCCAGGCTGGAGTGCAATGGCGCGATCTCGGCTCACTGCAACCTCCGCCTCCTAGGTTCAGGCAATTCTCCTGCCTCAGCCTCCTGAGTAGCTGGGATTACAGGCACGCGCCACCATGCCCAGCTAATTTTTTGTATTTTTAGTAGAGATGGGGTTTTACCATGTTGACCAGGATGGTCTCGATCTCTTGACCTCGTGATCCACCCGCCTCGGCCTCCCAAAGTGCTGGGATTACAGGCTTGAGCCACCGCGCCCGGCCTCCCAATTACATTTCTTAAGAGGAGGTGGTGTAACCAGAAGACACTTTAAGGTCTTGAGGCCATCCCCAAAGATCATTTGCTTCCTCAAACAGATTTTGAGCTTTTTCAGGTGAGAGACTAATCACTGAACTCGCTGTCAGTATTCAGCACTGTGCTGATTGATGTATACTAGGTACTCAATGACTTTGGTTGAAAAATGAATAAAAGAATGAATGAATAAAGAGACCCAGATTCTCTTACTGTAGGTCTGTGTTGTCTAATACAGTAGTAGCATGCGGCTATTTATTTTATTTTTTATTTGTTATTTTTTTATGAAGTCTCGTTCTGTCGCCCAGGCTGGAGTGCAGTGGCATAATCTTGGCTCACTGCAACCTCCGCTTCCCGGGTTCAAGCAGTTCTCCTGCCTCACCATCCTGGATAGCTGGGATTACAGGCACATGCCACCATGCCCAGCTAATTTTTGTATTTTTAGTAGAAACGGGATTTCACCATGTTGGCCAGGCTGGTCTCAAACTCCTGACCTCAGGTGATCTGCCTGCTTTGGCCTCCCAAAGTGCTAGAATTATATGAGGGAGCTACAACACCTGGCCTCATGTGGCTATTTAAATGTAAATTCTAATTAGTCAAAATTTAAAATTCAATTTCTCAGTTTCATTAGCCACATTTCAAGAGCATAATAATCCCATGTGGCCAGTGGTTACCGTATCGGAAAACGTGGAAATAGAACATTTCCATCATTATAGAAAGATCTATTGGACAGCACTAGGCTAGATGACAGATGGGGTGGGGGAAGAGAAAATGATGCATTGGGAAAACAGTATAGGCTGATGGCTTTAATCTGTTCTTGACCCTTTAAAAATAGTCAAGATCAGTCCTGTCTCATTAGATTGTGTCGCGCACTGCCCATTCAGAGGTCCAGAAACCACTTCTTCAGAAATCGTGTTTTGAGAAAGGGAAACCCGTTTCTGATCACACACATGACCCACGCTTCTTCAGAAAGGAAAGCATGAGGTTGAAGGGGGAACTGAGACTGCTGAGCTCTTCTGCCTTCGGCCACAGGAAACTAACTGATCCATGATGCTTTGTACCCATGAGCTCATCTAGTCCTCCCAGGGCACTGGAGAGTGGTGAAAAAAAGTGGCCACAGTTCACAGATTTTTCAACTGGTGGAGGCTAGTTCCTATACTCAAAACATCGGTAGATTGTCAAATGTTATCAAATGTGTCAAATAAGAGCAGTGGAAGGCAGAAAGTGTATAGCATATGGGCCTTAAGAAGTTTATAACCTTTTATTGTCCAGATCCTCTACTGTAATAGATTAATTATGTTCAACAAATTTCTAGACAAAAAAAAACTTTATAACCAAGTTAAGGAAAATTAAGAGATCAGCCCATAACTATATATAAGTATACAAAACTATAACTGTATCTGTAGCTATATATGCGTGTGCATCTATTTATTATCTACCTACTTATCTAATAACATGATTAATTAAAATTTATTTGATATGTTAGAGCTTTGCAAGTATTTTTCCTCATATGAAGACCGAGCAGATGCCCATGATGAATGTCAAACAAATGGAATGTTGGCACAGAGGGCAAGCACTCCAGGCATTCGCGGCAGGGTGAGATCACTGTAGGATGAAGTGATGGGGGAACGCTTTTGTGGAGGCAGAACCAGCAGGAATGCGGGGCAGTCACAAAGACAGGGATACAACTCCGGCTTCCCTCCTAGACACTTCCCAGACTCTCCGTTGCTTGTAATTTTTGTTTCTTTGTTTGCTTTTTTTTTTTTGAGACACAGTCTCACTCTGCGGCCCAAGCTGGAGTGCAGTGCAGTGGTGCGATCACGGCTCGGTGCGGCCCCGACTGCCAGGGCTCAAGCGGTTCTCCCACCTCAGCCTCCGGATTCGCTGGGACCATGGGTGCGTGCCACCACGTCTGGCTAATTTTTTGATTATCTGTAGACACGGGGCCTCGCTATATTGTTCAGGCTGGCCTCAAACTCCTGGGCTCAAGTAATCCTCCTTGGCCTCCCAAAGTTCTGGGATTACCGGGGGAGCCACCACACCTGGCCTGTTGCTTATAGTTTTTTAAATCAGGTAATTGTAAATTCATTTTACTTTATAAAAGATAAAATGTTGACATAGAGTTCTTAGTGATCTATGTTTTCTGTCCAGTCCTCCACCCAAATAATTAACATATTTAAAAAAACTCCCGCATATTTCATAGTGATTCTAGAAATGTAGAATAATTTGGATACTCCAAATACAAAATGGTTTGAGTTACCTTTGTTTAATAATCCTGTGATGAGCGTGCAAAGACATATATCAAATAACTTATAACTCAGGCTTATGTAACATCAGCTCTGCCCCAAATTCCTGCAGCGTAGAACACATAAAAATCCAACCCTGCAGTCTGACCAGTCTTGACTAGATTCTCCTTACATAATCATAACTGCTTCCCTGCCAGGAGCAATAAAAAAAAAAAGTTCTTCTGAAGCCCTGTGTACTTTGCCTCAGCTTCCTTTAACTTTTCTAAAGAGCTTCTACTTTTCTTCGTTGGCATTTACATTTCTTTGGCTTCAAGCCACAAAAACGATTGTCCTTAACTTGAACACAATAGTTGAGTCTTGAGAAGATACTGAATAGCTTGTAGAATCAAAGGAAGGCCAGAGAACCAGGCTCAGGAAACACAGAACCAGGGTAGCTCCAGTGGATGGGGTAGCAGGAATTGACCGTCTTGTCCTGGCTACCTGCTGAAATGAATAAGTGACGAAGGTTTTTTTCTATCCCTTCTGTTTTTGTTCATCATTCAAAGCCCTAGCAGAGAGAATCTGATTAGGTTTAGGTAAAGGCTGGGGGAAAAAAGCACACCTTCACCATAGCTCATTAGGACTGCACACAGATCATTCTCTAAGGAATCCAGTGACTGTTCTCAGCGAAGAAGAGAATGCATGCAGGATGGTCAAACTTCAGAAAATACCCACCGCGTTCCCATTGACTCTTACCTCCATTTTCCATTTTTTAAATTATCCACAATAGGGGTGACTAACATATCTTCCAACGCTGTGAAAAACATACAGAAAAATAGCTCTACCTGTGCTGAAATTTTTCCCAGAAAGGATTAATGGTTAGGAAAGCTTGGCCCTACTTACCCCTCAGTGTTAGAATTAAAGAAAATATATGCAAAATGCCTAATACCGTACCTGGCATGTAGCAAGGTTTATTACATGTGAGTCCCATTCCAACTCTTCCCATTCACCCCCTGTTATGCTGAAGGCAGCTCTCAGCCGCTCATGAGAAGAATCATTACATTTTCAGGAACTTGATAAGCCAACTGGCATAACATTGGCAGCTGGAAGTTGGCCTTTGTAGGGACAGAAAGATGTGATTGCTTTCTGCACCCATCATGAGTCATGACCAATACTCCATGACAAAAGACAGGTGAAAAAAACAAAAGCACAACAAATTTATTTTATTTATCTACTTTTTTTTTTTTCACACGAAAGTTTTTAGTTTATTAAGCTTCTTGTGAAAAATCCACAATGGCCATATAACGTCATTGCAGCTCGTTTATTTCTTCGGCTTTTGCCAGCCCCGACATTGGCCTTTGCAGTCCCCTGGCTTCCTTCATTCTGTTCCTGCGTTCCTTTCGTTGCTTTCTTGAGTCTTTTTCTTCTCATACAGGCCATGTCTTGCAAGTCTATGTTTGGGTTCCTTTTTCTTTGCATAATCCAGGGAATCATAAATCATGCCAAAGCCAGTTGTCTTGCCAACACCAAAATGAGTTCTGAATCCAAATACAAAGATGGCATCCAGTGTGGCCTTGTACATTTTGGCTGGTTTTTCCCAAATTTCTGTCTTAGGCACTGTTGCCTTCCCGGGGTGAAGGACATCAATGGCCATTTGTTTCCTCTGAAGTAGTTGGTTGGTCATTAACTTTCTAGTGTGGATAGTTATTGTGTCGTCTGTGATGGCGGCCTATCCTGACGCAGCCAGTGGGGAAAAGCTATTTATCTACTTTTTTGAAATGGAGTCTCACTCTTGCTCAGGCTGTAGTACAGTGGCATGATCATGGCTCACTGCAGCCTTAACCTCCTGGGCTCAAGCCATCCTCCTGCCTCAGCCTGCAGAGTAGCTGGAACTGCAGGTGTAGACCACCACACACAGATAATTTTTGTGTTTTTTTGTAGAGATGGGGTTTCACCATGTTACCCAGGCTGCTCTTGAACTCCTGGGCTCAAGCCATCTGTTTGCCTCGGCTTCCCAAAGTGCTGGGATTACAGGTGTGAGCCACTGTGCTGGCCAACAAATTTATTTCATCAAAATTTTACATGACATGGGAGCCTTCAGAAATGAAGACCCAAAGACTCAGAGAAAACTGGTTTTTTTATTCAATAAAGTTTCAATAAAGAATGGAGAGCCAAGGCTGGGTGCAGTGGCTCACACCTGTAATCCCAGCACTTTGGGAGGCCGAGGCAGGCGGATCACATGAGGCCAGGAGTTCGAGACCACCCTGGCTAACATGGTGAATATTCACACCACAGAAATTGTAAATGTTGCAAATCAAGACTTTCATCTACCCCTTGCCCTCCACTGCCTCCAAGAGTTAAACATTCACAGGCCACTACCACATCTGGGCCTTTCTTTCCTTCAAGAGATGTGAGGAGAACCAAGTTAGGATTAGGTTGACCTGTGAGTGACAAAAACCAAATAGAACAATGGCTTCCTAGATGCAAGTCCATTTCTCTCTGACAGAAACAAAGTCCAGAGCCAGGCAGGCAGCTCAGGGCTGGGACAGCTCCACCCCATTGCCTCACTGTCTTTTTTTTTCTTTTTTCTGAGACAGAGTCTCATTCTGTCACCCAGGCTGGAGTGCAATGGCTCTACCTTGGCTCACTGCAACAACCTTCACCTCCCGGGTTCAAGCCATTCTCCTGCCTCAGCCTCCCGAGCAGATGGGACTACAGGTACCCACCACCGTGCCTGGCTATGCCTCACTGTCTTTGATGCATGGCTCTTCATGATTTCGGATGGCTGCTAGGCTCCTTGTTCAGGCCAGGGGAAAGATAAGGACAAAGAAAAACACACCCCAGACCACGAAGTCCACGGACAGAAGTAACCCGTAACATTTCTGCTTATTTCAAAGGTTGGAAGGAAGTGTCTCTGCCACATCTGGCTGTGGGGGAGGCTTAGGGCCCTGTTGCTTTCTGTAGGGAGACATGTGCTCTGCTGGGGGCTGAGAAGGGGCGGGCAGGTGCTGGGGGGCAGCTGAGAAGCTGGGTGGGATTCGAGAACTTGTAGGGGAGAGGGAGAACTGATGTTGGTGTGATGGGAATGAGCATAGTTTGTGGAACTCTGAAGGAGCTGACTGGAATAGAAAATTAAAAATACTGAGAAATGAGGTTAAATACACAAGGTGGAAGCCAGAACTCAGTGAGGGTCCAGGAAAGCAGACAAAAGAATCTTTATCTCCTGCCACTAGACACTGGAGGCACTGAACTTGCCAGTAGGGGAGCTACATGATCAGAGGCATTTCAGAAATTTTAATCTCACACTGAAGTGCTAGACATATTGGAGGCAGGAGGAAAAACAGGAAGCAGCAGGGAGGCTGGAAAGGAGACTGAGTTCATGAGCCAGGTGTGAGGTGATTACATGGGGGCAATGGGAATGAGCAGGAAAAGCGAGAAGCATTTGCTAGAAAAAGTATTCAAATTGATGGCTGGTCTGAAAGGGAGTTTTGGGCTGGGGTGATAAGAGACAGAACTCATAGCAACAGGATAAATGGAGTAAACTTGGCTTGGTTGGTGTTTTATTTTTAAATTATTTATGTATTTATTTATTTTGAGACAGAGTTTCACTCTTGTTGCCCAGGTGGGAGTGCAATGGCGCAATCCCGGCTCACTGTAACCTCTGCCTCCCGGGTTCAAGTCATTCTCCTGCCTCAGCCTTCCGAGTAGCTGGGATTACAGGCATGAGCCATGGTGCCTGGCCTATTATTATTATTTTTTATTTGAGACAGGGCCTTGCTCTGTCACTCAGGCTGAAGTACAGTGGTGCAATCTTGGCTCACTGCAACCTCTGCCTTCTGGGCTCAAGCAATCAATCCTCCCATCTCAGCCTCCCGAGTAGCTGGGTCTACAGGCGTGTGCCACCAAGCCAGGCTAATTTTTATTTGTATTTTTTGAAGAGGCAAGGTTTTACTGTGTCCAGCCTATCTCCAGGCTGGTCTTGAACTCCTGAGCTCAAAGCAATCTGCCCACCTTGGCCTCCCAAAGTGCTGGGATTACAGGTGTGAGCCACCACGCTCAGCAGCAGGTGTTTTAGATTGGGCTACCTCGAAACAGAACCTAGGGTGGGAACTTTTGTTCAGGAGACACATTGGGAGAGGCTCTCAGGACAAAGACTGAAAAAAACAGAATAGGGAAGGGGAAGAGGCTAAGCAAGGATGTGAGCTTCAGCCTGAGCCTGTGGGGAAGCTCAGGGCAGCAAGTTGCACCAGTCAATTGCACTTGGAGGCATGGGGACCTGCTTCAAGTTAGGTAGCCACTGGGAGGTCTGTTCAGAGCATGTGCAAGGGAGAAGGGCTTGGCGCTTGGCTCCTGTTTGGCCCAGAGCAATTCTCCAGAAAATGGGATAGTTTTGTGGTTATCAGCTGATATTCCCAAAAGCTGGAAGGTGAGTGGACCCACTGGGAAAAAGGACCTGGGCCCAAACAACATCCAGGACAGTGAATTCATTTTGGTTGTGCTGGATTTGAGGTGGCAAAGAAATAAGGAACTGGCATATGACTGTGGGAATTTTGAGGTATAAGACAGGAGTTCAGGTGAAAAGATAGGACTAGGTATAGTGGCTATCGGAGTGGGGGACTTGGGCACAAAGATGATAGGGTTTTTTGGGGGGGTTTGTTTGTGAGGGTTTTTTTGTTTTGTTTTGTTTGTTTGTTTTGAGAGACAGGGTCTTGCTCTGTAACCCCGGCTGGAGCGTAGTGGCATGATCATAGCTCTCTGCAGCCTCAACCTCCTCAGCCTCCTGAGTAGCTGGTACTGCAGGTGATGTCACCACTCCCAGCGGTGTGGTGACAACATAGTGAGACCCCCATCTCTACAAAAAAATTTAAAACATTTTTTTGTAGAGATGGGGGTCTCACTATGCTGCCCAGACCGGTCTCAAATTCCTGGGCTCAAGCGATTCTGTTGCCTCAGCCTCCCAAAGTTTCAGGATTACAGGTGTGAGCCATGGCGCAGGCCTAGATGATAGTTCAAACAAGAGGGAATTTGTGTATTTGTCACTTTGAGGTTTCTAGTGGCCTTTGAAGGAAAAGTCATGGCAGGACAGAGTATGAAACCATATGGTGAGGTGAGGTCTGGCAATGCTTTGCACATTTAATGTCCTTCCATTCTGAGTAACTCTTGACACCTCTAGGGTACTTTCTGCGTCACCTACGTGCTGCTCATTCTGGCTTGTCCTCTGTGTTCTGGTTATTTAATGCTGCCCAACAAATTACCTCAAAATTTTGTGGCATGAGACAACCCTTTATTACTTTCATGGATTCTGCGGGTCAGGAATGTGGGTCACACACCGCTGTGGGGACGGCTTGTCTCTGCTCTGAGGTATCCGGGGTTGCGGCTGGAAGAATCGAAAGCTGGGAGACTAAAGTTATCTGCAGACACTTCGCATGTCTCACATATCTGGCAGTGGATGCTGGCGGTTGGCTCAGGGACCTCAGGTTTTCTACCTGTGGTCTAGTTAGACTTTCTCTTGCATGGTGGCTGGGTTGCTGTGAGGGAACCAGGCATCAACTCCTGTTTTTTGTTTTTTTTTTTGAGACAGGGTTTCACTCTGTCACCCATGTTGGCGTGTAGCGGTGCAATCATGGCTCGCTGCAGACTCTACTGCCTCCGTCTCCCTGGTAGCTGGGACTACTGCCAACACGCCTGGCTGGTTTTTCTATTATTATCATTATTATTATTTTGTAGAGACAGGGTCTCACTATGTTGCCTAGGCTGGTCTCCAACTCCTGGGCTGAAGCGATCTGTCCTCATCAGCCTCCTAAAGTGTTGGGATTATAGGCATGAGCCAGGGTGCCCGGCCACATTCTTTTTATAACCTCATCTTTTTTTGATCTGCATCACTTCCCTCAAACCCTATTGGTTAGGGTAGTCACAGCCCCGCTTCCATTCAAAAAGGGAACAATGGCCCCCACCTGGAGTGTCAGTCACAGGAAAAGGACAGCAAGTGGAAAGGGGCACCCAACTTTGGAAAACACCATCGGTCACACTCTGTCAGAGCCTCCATTTGCTTCTTGTGAGTGGCTTCATTTATGCAACTGTCATTGGGTCAACAATAACAGCAACTTGAAGAACTTCCTGAGAGCAGGGATCTGTTACTTTTGTCTACTTTATCTTTATATCCTGAGCATTGGCCCAGGAGTAAATATCTGTGGAAGGATGGGATCCTTCTAAGCCTCTCATCTAGTTTCATGTACCTTGCATCATTTGATTCCAAACTAGCTGTCATTACCATTTCAAAACTGAAGAAGTTGAGGCTTAGAGGGGCAAATGGTCTGTCTCAGATGATTCAGGTCTTCTGGGTTGATGTGGCTTTTATTAAGAACTTGCTGTCTCCAAACAGCAAATAACATCCTAGGGGCTGGGGCTGTTTCTTCAAGACCCCTGCCTTCTGCACCCTTGTAGCAGCACAGGCCCATCTGCAGGGCTGTGGACAGCATGCCCTCAGCTGCTTACTGACAGGTTTGCATTTGATATACATGATTTATTTATTTAGAGACAAAGTCTCGATCTGTTGCCCAGGCTGGAGTGCAGTGGTGTGATCTCCGCTCACTAAAACCTCCGTCTCCCAGGTTGAAGGGATTCTCCTGTCTCAGCTTCCTGAGTAGCTGGGATTTCAGGCATGTGCCACCACGCCCAGCTAATTTTTGTATTTTTAGTAGAGATGGGGTTTCACCATGTTGGCCTGGCTGGTCTCGAACTCCTGACTTCAGGTGATCCACCCACCTCGGCCTCCCAAAGTGCTAGGGTTACAGGTGTGAGCTACCACGCCCAGCCTACATGATGATTTAATATGAAGATTTGGGGTGATTTTGCATCTCTTTTTCACAGAATCAGGGTCAGGACCAGGGTCCTCATGTTGAATTCAGCTTCAGGACTGGGTAGAAGGCTGGGATGAAGTTGCTCCTCATCTCTCTGTCCTGGTTATGAGCAGGTGGCACTTGGGTCAGGAGTGTGAGGTGAGTGGGTGATGCTACAGAGGGTTCAGGTGGAGCAGTCAGACCATGCTGAGTAACTGCCCTGGAGGGAAGGGGGAAATGGTGGAGGCAGTTCCTGTAGGTCCAGCTCAGAGGGGAGAAGGGAGCCAATTAACATCTCCTCCCCAAGTCACATCTCAGCCCTGGGAATACTTCATAGGCTCTGGGGAAATCCTGCCCAAATGGCAGAGTGGGTGGTGGGGTGCTTATCACTCAACATCAGGAGTGGGTGGGGGCAGCTCGTAGAACTTGCTTAAGGCCTCAATTTTCCAAATCCTGCCTGTGATCCACCCCCAGTGCCACCAGCCAACCTTTGACTTTATCTCTTCAGTTGATTTTCTCAGAGATTGCAGATCAGGAAGGGCCTTTGGAAACCACAGCTTCCACTTCCGCTGTGAGGGCAGAAAGCACGGGACAATCTAACCCCTTCATCCCTGGAAAGTAACAAGGAGGACTCTGCCCTTACCGGGTCCCCATGGTCCTGTACCAGCCGCACAGGGACCACTGATGGGGGCTTTTTCTCTCTGGTTCCTCCTCATCCTCTCCTCTGCTCAGGCGTATGCTCCCCCTGCACACTCGGTCTGACAGAAGCTCCCTGCGACTTCTCACATCACCTTCCACTCCCCGCCTCACCTCCACGGGCCCTGGTGCACTGGCTTTGGCTGTGTCTTTTGTGAGTCACCCCCGCTGCTTTTTTCCAGCCCTACCGCCGGGGCTCCCGCTCTCCCCCACACAGGACTTACTCACCACTCATGTCATCAATCCCTCTGGAATGCGCCCCCTCCTCCAGACACCCATCCTCCCCACATCCTTTATTATTTTGTTTAAACTAACAATTCCCCCTCCAACCTCCATGATTAAAATAGCACATGTTTGTTGTGGGAAATCTGTAATATGCAAAATGCATCCAAAAGGGAATAAAAAGCACCGATAATTCCATAACCCAAATTAGCTAACATTACATTCTGGTGGATTTCCTTCTGGCATTCTCCTCACCAGAACTCTGCCAGCTTGAGGCCTTCATGTGTGCTTATTGCTTCTTCTAACTAAAGTTGCGCTCTCTCTCCCTCCCTTTGTCTTTCCCCTCCTTCAATCTGTGAGCAAACCTAATCATCCTTATTGTGGTAAAGGTCATTCTTTCAGAGAAACCTTGCGTCTACCCCCCAGCTGGTCTCTTTATTACACATCGGAATACCCAGTACTTTTCCTTGTAGCGCTCACCACCACTAGAAATAAATCATCATTTTTGTCCTCTTGTGTTTAACGTCTGCTTAACTACCTGACGTAAGGTCTGGGACTGGTTTTGTTGTTTACTCTGACGGCCCTAGCACCCATCACAGAGCCCTGTACACAGAAAACACCCAACACATCATACCAAGATGCCTTCCCAGAGTAACCATGGGCCTGTCTTCCCAGCACACTACAATAATCCATTTAACAAATATAATTAATCAATTACTATGTGCCTGGCTTGGTTTCAGGTACAGGATATCAAGTGAGATGATCCAGTTCTTGCCCTCAAGGAGCTCTCAGTCTTTTGAGGGAGACAGATTCAGTAACAGGAGCGTTCTAATGCACGGCTAAGTATACAGTGATCAATACTGTTAGGTAAAGTGTGGAGGGGAGGTCCCTGAACCGTCCTGGGGAGGTGACACCATTGTTTTATCTTGTCCTTGTTAATACATTTACTTCACAGAATCACAGGATAACGGAATTGCGTGGCACCGTGAGATCAGCAGGCTCATCTATTCCTGTACAGACGAGGAAACTCAAGGGTAGTAGAGCGACTTAGCCAAAGCCATTGGGTGACAGAGCTGGGATCAGAACTTGGATCTTTAGATTCCCAGCCCAGGGCTCTTTCCATTATACCTACGGGCCTTTGGACTCCCCTCCCCTCCCATTCTATTAATCCCCAAGTCCTTTGATTTTCCGCGCAGGTCTCTCCAATCTCTCCACTTTTCCTCATCTCCATATCACCAGGCTCCAAGCTTCCATCATCATCTCCAGCCTAAGCGCCTGCCCTCACCTCCTACCTCATCTCTCTGCTTCTAGTCTTGCCCTGCTCGGATCCCTCCTCCACTCTCAGCCAGAATGAGCCTCACAGATGTCAGTGTGAGCATGTCTGTCCCTGGCTTAGAACTCCAGTGGCTTCTCACCAGGCTTTTAGAAATATGCTCAAAATTCTTATATGGTATATTAGTCAGCTCAGGCTGCCTTAACAAAATACCCTAGACTGGGTGGCTTACACAACAGAAGTTTATTTCTCACAGTTCTGGAGGCTGAGAAGTCCAAGAGCAAAGTGCTGGCGAGGTCAGCTTCTTTCAGAGTCCTCTCTTCCTTCCTTCTTTTTTCTTTCTTTCTTTTTTTAATGGAGTCTTGCTCTGTCACTAGGCTGGAGTGCAGTGGTATGATCTGGGCTTACTGCAACCTCCACATTCTGGGTTCAAGGGATTCTCCTGCCTCAGCCTCCTGAGTAGCTGGGACTACAGGCGTGCACCACAATTCCCAGCTAATTTTTGTATTTTTAGTAGAGACAGGGTTTCACCATGTTGGCCAGCATGGTCTCGATCTCTTGATCTTGTGATCTGTCTACCTCGGCCTCCCAAAGTGCTGGGATTACAGGCATGAGCCACTGTATGTGGGCCGGCCTGCCTTCCTTCCTTCCTTCCTTCCTTCCTTCCTTCCTTCCTTCCTTCCTCCCTCCCTCCCTCCCTCCCTCCCTCCCTCCCTCCTTCCCTCTCTCCCTTCCTTTTCTTTTTGAGAGTCGTGCTCTGTTACCCAGGCTAGAATGCAATGGAATGATCTCAGCTCACTGCAATCTCTGCCTCCCGTGTTCAAGCAATTCTCCTGCCTCAGCCTCCTGAGT